ACTGACACCGCTATTTCACCGATGTCGATGGTGAATCTTGCTTGGAGAGAAAAACGCGTAAAGGCGCAGCCCGTGCCCTCCACTTCCCTGTCCGTATGTGTCAGCGAGCGCCGGGGCAAGAACGATTGTAGATCTTAGGGCATATTTTAGTAAGCTCATTAGGAAGAAGATAACTGCCGGGGTGGGTGGACCGTTTGATCCCATCGGAGCTGTTCACCTTCCTCACAAATGGTTAGGTGAAAGCTGTTTTTTCTCGCTCATAGTGAAAAAAAATATATTTATCGTGGTTTTAAGCAGCGTTCAATCTCTCTTCTTAGTTGACCATCATAAATTCGAAAATTTCCTTTCTCAACAGCTTCTCGGCAAGAAAATCTGGTGTCTTTTTCAGTGATGCCGAATTTCTGGTTCATCCAATACTTCGGAGCCTTATTAAATCGAAGTCGGACTACACCGTGTCAAAAGATCCGCCTCGACTAAAAACTAGTAAAACGGCATTTGAGGTATGCCCATCCATAACGAAAAATCGATGCTGAGAAATGTCCAGCAGCTGTTATAAATGCAAAAGTGCCCGGGAACAGTAAAAAGTTCCACTTCGAGACAGCAATGCTATTTTAGGAAGTCTTATGGAATTTCAAAGAGATCATCCTGCCCTGCGACAGGCTGATATGTCAATTGAAGTACCCGGTAGCCATTACTTCTGGTTCAGATTAATTTGTCGAAGATGTGGGAATCAACAGCAGATGATGAGCCCCCTGTGGCTAATTTCACTCCCGAGCTGGACCAGAAATGGCCGGAACCCGATGCACCTTCGCCTCCTGTCAAACTATATTTTCCTCCTTATATTGTCCCAGTAAGTCTTACTCTGGTTTGTTCATCTTGTAAATTTATGCCTCTAGATGGCTATCAGACAAGTACCAGAAATATTCTGTTATGTGACAGTCACTGGTAATTTTTAGCAGTTAATCGATTGTTAGTTTTATCTTTTAGCGCTCACCGCTGCGGAGAAATACTTCATGTTGGTCATCTCCAGCGAATGTTTACGCGGACGATCACTCATCGAGGAATTCACCCATAGGTGATCGACTTCTTCAGTCTATCTTCTTGTTGATCGACCAATTTGTGATTATTGCAGAACACTCAGCGTGCTGGTCAGCTCCAGAATGTCTGTGTGACAGCGGTAGTGAAGGAGGCGTCGACGACAACCTGGAGGAGGAGCTCGTACCGAGATCGTGCTCCTGTCATGAACTGGACCATGGCGCCATCGAGAAGAACCCTTCATTCCTTGACAGCTATCCAGTGATCGACTCCTCACAACAAGGTCTACCCGCTATGTGCACTCAAGGCTTGCCCTCTCCATTATAAGTTCCGTAATTCAGTTGCAAGTGCCGCGCCGCGATTAGTTTTCGAGTACAAGTGCGTGTGCTGCCGGCCATATATGTCGCATTCCCATGGGTGTTTCCCGTGGTCTTCTGTTTCCACTTCTCCTCGTGCATGCGTTGCCCAAATGTGCGTGGGCCACGCCTTCTGGGGATAATTTTCACTAAAGGCTAAGCTACCGTCTGGTCACTGCTTTCGCTTTAATGCTGAGGAGCGCTTTTATGACTTTTTGTTGAGGTGTCGCAATGGAACATCCCACTTGTTTCGTTCCCCCTTTCGCGCTGCCACGCTCTCTCTGTCTCGTCGCGTCCGTAGTATTTTCATTACGTGGCGGCTGCCCTCCTATTGGAAGCGCTATTAGCGCCCTCGGATGGATGCTGCGCTTCTCGAGCGAACCCCCACTGCCATCCTGACATGTCAGGCCGCCTGATATTCCTCTCTAACCCTTGATGCGACAGCAATTCCCGACGTCGTCGTTTTATCATCGCCGTGCATGCTGTCTAATGCGATTGGCATTAGAGCATGGCAAAAACCCTGTTAATGGGCCATAGTCTTTCCAGTCATCAAGAAGGATTCTCTATTGCGAATAGTGCCTGTCGGGGTTTTCGGATGGGAAGTAGATGCCAGATAGCAAGTGTTTGGTTAAGCTCGATAACTTCAGTCACACCCGTTGCTGGGCACCCAGTGCCGTTCGCACGAAACTAATTGTTTAAACGCGCGCTCCCTAACTCTCAATTTGCACGGTTCTATTTCTACAATAACCTTTAGTGATTGTGCTTGACCGAACTCGAGCCAGGCCAATGATCTTCTATTTTCAGTACCGTCACTTTGCTCTATACGACTTCCGTCCAGTAGCAGCACTACTGCCAATTCTCCTTCACCCCCAAGGCCTTTGTCCCCAGTACTTGGGAGGCCACCAACTCACTGTGAGTTGTAAAAAAAGTGTTTCGACCCTCCCACCAGAGATGATGAGATGTATTTCAGCGAAACCAATCCCAGGATCACGTTCGATGCAACTTCGACCGCGACCGGAATCATCTACTTTGTTTGACAACTCTACCTCAGATGATGACTCACCTCAGCAAGATCCTTGGCCCCAGCAAGAGGTCTGTCACAAATCTCTTCGGGCAGTCCTAGTTTTGTGTGCAAAAGGTCATTTTCAGGTTTGGCCGGAAGAGGATGTGATGAGTCGCTCTTTGCGAACCGGATGGACTGTTGCTGATTCAGCCGTAGGTGTCCAACGACCACAGTCCTCCCGTCCCGTATCCAGTGGTGCTCAACATGTGGGAGTCTCCGGCAGCAGATCCATGCATAATCAACTTCAATATGTTCCACTTGAACTCGAGAGCTCTAGCCGCTCTCGGCTCGATGAGGATGAAAGGTTGTGACGCGTTTTCTATTTGTCTCATCCGATTATATCCCTCAAGCGCTCTTGGAAGGCAGTGCTCAAATTTCAGGAGAGACTTGATCACACGAAGTGCGTGGATTGATCGAGGAAGCACCGTGCATCTGCAGGATTGTGCTGCCGAACGAATACTGCCTGAAGTGGGGGAGATGTCAGGATTCAGAAACGGCACTCGGTGTGAGAGCCAGTCGGACTTCCGCGTCGATTCTGGGTCTACAGATTCTATGAGGCGATCATATACTACTGAGGAACTGAAACGAGAACGACGGCGATTGCCGAAAAGACCTGATGTGCAACCATTCCTCAGTGAGTCTAAAGTTTCCATAAATCTTGTGATTATTACCAAAAAAGCCCAAATTTGTCCAGGTAACAAGCAATATTTCAAAATAAGTGGTCATTTAGGTGAACTTCCTTCGTCGTTAGCACTTCATGGCCAAACTGTAGAAGACCTTGGCGAGCCAGATCGTCAAGACGATCTTTCCACAAGAGACTGCGATACGCTCTACTATCCACCAGCGGCAGCATCAACGGAACTTCGACCTTCAAAGTGAGTTGGAATAATCTCGCGATCAATTTCAGGGCAGGCTCACGCGCCCTAGGGAGGCTTAGCAGTGACGCAGCTGAGCAGTGAGGCTCAATCGGCTTGGTCAATCAGAAAAAAACCAGCTCCTAGAAGTTGTGCCATATTTCTCCCCGTTAAGATTCCCTCATTAATCATTGAATAGGGCACTTCGATGCTTTGCTCCGAGATATAATGGTTCAAACATTCGTGCTAAACATAACATTCATGACGGAATTCTGCACGCAGCAGGGATTTGATGACTCAGATGGATGCTCTGGGTTCAGGTTACATTACAATTACATGATGTGGAAAAGTAGGGTGTTGAAATGAAAAATCTTGGACTTTTGGACGAATTCTATAAACTACTTCCTTTATAATGAAAAAAATATTTGCGATGTGAAGGTGCAAGCGAAAAGAACTTCAGAAGAACTCCGGATTTCGTATCCCTTTCCAAATTCGCAACTGGGAAAAAGTGGCCACTGCGTGCTGACATGCTCGTTTGGCACTTAATCTTTTGACGGTTACAAATAGACGGAAACACCTTCAGCAATCAGTCCTGGACCAAAAACCCTCGTAATCGACCCCAGCTAGGCAATCCGCTATCAATAGAGAAAAAGAGAGAGAGAGATAGGAAAAAAAAAACACTGGAAGTATGAAATAAAGCTGTGTCGACTCCAGTAAGAGTTAGTTCTATGCAGAACAGGGCGCAGGTTGTACAATTCAAAAACAAAGTGTTCCCATTCAGATAGTGAGAGAGGAGGCCACACTCCACGTTGGGAAAGATTTTTCTGTTTTTATTTTCCCAGTTTCGCTCTGTAAGACCCCATCCGACAAAAGATTCGCTTATTACCTCTCCATAGTGCACAGGGCGTCATGCAAGCGGACCAGGCTTCATTCTCTTACAGTGCCCACTAAAACAAGGAAGGTATCCTCTTGTACGTTACCGCGTTAGGCCTTCAAATGTCCCATGGGTTCGGATGCAGTACGAACGCCTGCCGCTTCCAAATTTTATGATTTTGAATTTTTCCTTTAAACATTTTCTTTATTTAATTAACAACTTTCAAAGTGGTCACAATCCGGCTGCCCTTCGTTCCTTTCGAATGGCGCTGCTAGGTTTTCAACCTCGATTTCGCTGGCTCCTAGCCTAACTTTTATTCTTCACACCTTCATTTTTGTATAGAGAGAAGGCTCTCGTGTGGGTGAGGACAGTCAAACCCGTTGCAGTTCTTCGGTCCAGTCTACTAGTACCACTCTCACCTTGAAGGTAGGTAACAGTTGCGGGCTATTATTAAGAGAGGATTCGATCTTTGCACTATCCTGGCATCATCTTGTCCATTATACTGCGAAAAACAGTCAGCATAACTCAACACTAAGAGGAGTGGGCAGGGTTCGAATCAAATCTTCCGCACATAATTCACCGTTGCCCCTAACCTGTCATCCATCTAAAAATGAGCTACTGAAGTTCGCTGAAGAGCTGCGAGTGAATGAAAAACTGAATCGGGCGAAATATTCTCATTCAGTATTCAATGATTTCTGCAGTTTTTGCAAGTTTTCAATATTGCAACTGTCGCTCCTCGTCAAGCGTCACCATCTACGTCATAAGTGCGTCTCAATGGCAGCCATTTTGCGGAGGAAATGCTTTTTCAGTAAACATTCCCTGCACTGTATGACATTCGCTTAGATGAATAGCATAGATTATTGCGGGCAATCGTGAACAATGAGAGATTTTTTCCTCAATTAAAGATTCATCTGAAGGTTTGCTGAGAGCTGGAGCATTTCAGTACTTCTGAAATGCCATAATAAATCCTGGATTATCTCGAGTTATCCTGTGACGCTCTCCTGTATAGAGGATGGGGGCTGAAAAAGGAAGCTGCTCAGCTCATAGGAAATATTACCAACGTGCTTGACTTGTGGAACGATAGGGGATATGGAAGACACAAGGCCAAATATTCCTGAAATGTTCCTTAACAAGCACAAGCAAGGGTTTCGCAACTGACTCCACCGTCGCGAGGAGGAAGCAATTATCCTCACCGACGAGTTGCACTGCGTCTCCTAGGAGGACGGAAGAATAGTGGGACGCTAGGGTGTAGGTGTTACTGTACGATTAAACCCACTCATGGTAACCTACCTGTTGTGAATGGACCTACTCCTTGTGCCCTCCAACATGTGGGCGCAGGTGTACAAGTCTTTAGGTGGGTGCACAGTTCCTTCCACTTACTACTCCTCATTCTTCGTCAACATTCCGTTCTGTTAGATGCTGAAAAAGGCTCTCGTAATTTCGCCAGGGTTCAGTCTTCCATGGACGGAGTTTATCGAGACCGTCCACTTTATCGCACCGCTTCGAAAGTGCGTCGCTTGCCCTACTGGAAACTTTTGACGTTCTGCGGTCCTCGATACCAATTTGCGCACCATCTTACGTTCAAACTAGTCAAAACTTATCAAAAATCAGGCGTTAACTGTCTAGAATGTCCCGTCTTGCTCCATAAGTACGGCAACTGGGTTCCTAGGTGGAATTTTTTTCAAAACCACAGGTATCTTCTTTTATGTCTTAGTGCTTCCCTCTGCCTACTGAAGTTCGAACAACATTGACCATCGAGGTTCTGAGTTGTCGTGTTTCGGATATACCGATTTCCGTAAATTGGGTAGCATCTTTCACCCTCTCTCCACACTCTCTCCTCTAAATATTTTGCATAGAAATGTCTCGAATACTTCTAGCACCATGATAACGGATTAACATTAACAGTGTTAAGAGTGTAGCGGTCCGCTAAGATCCTCAGTTCTCGATGACGCCTACACGTATGTTTGCTATGTCATGCTGTTCCTATCCTGTGTCTCTGATCATACTTAATTTCCTTTGGTCTGTCTCTTGTAGTGCTACCACCTTACGTATCTCTCTCCGCTTTCTGGGTCAATGAATTAATGGATACTAATTCTCTTGCCTGTTCTTTGGTCTCCGTTAATCGCCTCCTTTCACGAGTACATTGAGCGTTCACGGTTTATGACTGATAATCAGCTGAGGTACTCGAGCCCTAACCATTTCCTCTTCTCCTCTTACTCCGCCAACAAAATTACGTTTGCCGGCGATCCAGCAATGCTTAATGTAGTTCAGCCTAAGTTCTGCTTGTGAGTGCGTCCTTTACCATGTGATACGGATCGAATCTCTTAAGCATCTTCCTAGAGTTACTTCACTTCGCGTAGGTCAAAAAACGCATTGTAAAATCGTCTTTTCAAAGGAGTTATGTCCCCCATACAGAGGGTGGGGACGATACTCTCAGATATGCTTGCCGTATGATAACTCGCAGTTTGATGCATAACTGCAATATCGTGTATGCTTATTGCGCGAGACCAGTAGAGTCGGTGTAGTCAAATGTTTTTCTCATATCAAGGCAGTCAGCTGACCACTTTTTTTGCGCGAAGAACGAGAGTAGAAAACTTCATTAGGTGTAACGAGGGTCGGCACTTTCACTTCACGCTAGTTTTTTCGCGTAATTCATTGTTAACTGCTAACTGGACAGACTCCCTTTGGCTATGACCCGCAATACTCTTGTAGTATCTGCGTGCATCCGTCGAGCGACTTTCAGCGCATTTGGCGGGTCGCAGGAATTAGAGCATTTTCACAAGGTTGCCTTCACAAACTTACAAGAGCCAAACCGCCGGAAGTTCTTCAGTAGCTCGGCTGAGACACCCATTGGTGTATAGGTGGCCATGGTTAATGTTCAAACTCTAGTCGATCTGTTGTTCCAGGGTGTCCCAAATTCGTGTAACCTGTTTCTACGGTTGTGGGACCAAGTATGCAACGTGGACTCAGTTTTTCCCAGAGAGCTGATCCGCATTTTACGTCTGTATCGGGCCTTTAAATAGCCTCCTAGAAGTTTCTTCGAGCTGAAACCCTCATCAAGGTAATATTTTGCCTTCACGAGTAGTCTGACATCAATGTTGTGTAATTGCAGTGCCTGAAACAGACTGTCCAGTGATTGTTACATGTGTATGTTGCGTCCGGAGCACCAAATCACACGAGGTTGTATGGTCGATTAACAAGGTGCTCGGCTGGATATCTCAGAACTATTGAGATTCGTTTAGGTCGCTTCTGCTCGCGATTTCTTTGTGCCGTCGAGTTGTATCGACAGTCTCTTTGGTGATCGCCTCGACTCTTTAGGATTGGTCCAGTCCGATACGCTGTTGAAATTCTATGGTATATTAAGTCAACTGCCTCGCTTTGAATTACGCCTGCGTGAAGGACAGGTCTCTGGGGTTATTGACTGGATCTGATTAAATCGCAGCTGTCCTTGGTCAGTTGTCCAGACTAGTTCATGCTCACAGATTTCCGCGATAGAGAATCACGCGTAGAATGGCCCTTTCCCGGACTTCCGAATCGATTGACCGTCCTCAACACTTTTTATGCCCGTTTATGTTTTGGGAGAGTCCCGTCCTTGTTTATATTCCCCGATCATACTAGTCGGTATCCGATATCTTGGCAATCACAGAGGATCGCGCATTGTTTGGGGATCCCTACGGGGGGGGTGTCTACCAGTCCTTGAATAAAGTGGGGAGATGTGTTTGCGTTCTGTAATAAGCGCGACCAAAATTCCCCATCCGTTATGGCTGTAGCCTGCTTTCTTCAAAGTTCCGGTGATGGGAAGAACACATGTCAGAAGACAGTCAAGGGCGCTACTAGGAGTAGGGAAGGGATTCTACACTTGTGAATCCTGTACAGGCACACATAATGAAGCTCGTAAGATTATGTTACTATACATGTCCAGCTGAAGTGGTTAGGCGGGACTTGCTTCGTTTCGCAGCTTAACAAAGTTCACAGGACTCGTAAAAGTCAGGACACTTAGAAACTGCAAACTGACCCCTCCCCCTCACCTCCCTTTGCGCTACAATGAGAAAGAAGGATTGGGGACAGTCGATATACTGAGACAGCCAGGTTTCCCTCCCACCTTCTGGATCAATCATCCTTTTTTCTCTTTAGATATGTGACACTGCATT